CCAGTTGGTAACAAATTCACCATATTTGATTTGAAAAAGTACTTTACGTGATTTTATAATTTTGATCTTCTGTTATGTCGTGCAACTAATTTTTCCCAATTCGAAGTAGAAAATTAATAGCGAGTTTTTTGCAAAGAAAATTTTCAGAAAGTAGACAGTAAAATTTTACTGGAAAAATACGAAATTTTGTTCATATCTGTTCATATTTGTTGGACATTTGCGGTTTTTTAGCAACCATGCGAACACAATCGCAGTGGAATCGAATTTCAACATTAAAGTGATTGCACTCAGTAAATCCGGCACTCACGCATTCCTGATTAATGAAGGTATGCATGAAAAAACATCATTCGAGTTCTTGAAACACTGCAGCTGAAGTCTGAGATATGCTTAAAATAATCTCTACTGATGCAAGCTGGCTGGCCTGACGATGTTGGAGCGGGTTTCAGTATTTGCCAAGGCCGAAAGTTTTTAGTCCATGACTAAGAAAACCAGTAATTCTTTGAATCATTCAGATGATAGTTTGGAATAAATACTTGCCAGCGAGTCGAAACAGCTATCATCCAAAGTATGAGCTAATGAAAACCTTGCCACTAGGTTGTTGCTGTTGGTACTGCTGTGTGTGTTGGTCAGCTTCCAGTGCTTTTACTTATAGATTGGGTCAATAAGAAATTTTACCAATATATTTGCACAGTATGAAGTGCCAGTTACATCAGTACTGAGTAAATAAATAGCAACGCGCACCAGACTAGCCGGTGCGATCATGCGTTTTGTGCAATTCAACCCATCGAACGATTGCCTATTATTGATTTTCACTGCTTTCTACTTTTGTCTATGCAGAAATAGTTCAGACATTGGAAAACAGTTAAAAATTTCATGCATCAACGCGTAAAAGTTGAATTCGAAACCTTGAAAGGTGAATATCTTTCCGTGATTCTCTAGTTAGTAGTTTAGTCGCCAAAATTCTCATGAGGCCATGGGTGATTCTCAACAGCGAGGGAACGCTGAATTTGAATAGGCAAGGTTGAGCGTTGAGAGGGGGTCATTACCGTAAAATTTCGGCTCCCTAGGTCCCGTGATTCTCGAGATAATAATTTACCCGTGAAAACTTTCACTAGCCCGCAGGTGATACCCAAGAGTGCGGGAACGCTGAGTTTGAATGGGGAAGGTTGAGCGTGGGCAGGGGGTTATTATCCTAAGATTTCAACTTCCTTGACCCCGTGGTTCCCGAGATACTAATTTACCCGTAAAAAAATTTCATGGGCCCGTACGTGTACCCGCGGGTACGGGAAAGCTGAATTTGAATGGGCAAGGTTGAGCGTGGGCAAGGGGTCATTACCCTAAAATTCCAACCTCCTAAACTCTGTGGCTCCTGAGATATTAATTTACCCGTAAAAAACTTTCGTGGGGCCGTACGTGTTACCCGCGGGTACGGGAAAGCTGAATTTAAATTTGCCGCGTCACCCGTTGGAGGGGGACACTATCCCAAA